TCCCAGCATTTTTTCACCACAGTTTGTTAATTGGCAACAACAAGAACGAAAAAAAAGGAGAGAAAGAGAAAAAAAAACTGTGAAAAAATGACAGATAAAAGTGGTGAATAATTCTGGAGGAAAAAACTGAACTTGAAGTGATTAACAGGAAAAGATAAGGAGTAAAAATTCAGAAATTTTTTTTTATTTATTTTTATTTATGAAATTTTGTTTATTCCTCGAATTTATCAGTGTACTCTTTTAATCGTTTCCCATTTTTTTTCAACTTATTACTGCTATCAACTGTTCTTCTTTCAGTTTGCTTGTTATATTCATTAATTTAGCAAGAATTACTCTAAGTGATTTTTTTTACTGAATTATAAACTGCTCTATAATAGGCAAAAGAACCCTGTCTACTGTGATGTCTTAGCAAGTGGTAATAGCATTTTACGTTGATTACTGTTAACAAAACAAAAGTTCTAGAAAGTGACTCGTTTAGATCACACTTCAAGCATTCATTGTACTGTTTGGTTGATTCTACAGAATTTTCAAGCAGTTTATTACATCCGATTCAATCTTTGATCAACTGTAAAAAAAAAAACCAAGAAGAAAACAATACATTAAAAAACAAAAAAATGTAGAATTGGTTTTTTTAATAATTATTATACACAAGTAAACTGTACTTCAAACAATGCCTTTTAGGCTTCAATAGTACTGCTGCCATCAGTTTTACATTAGATATATACAAAAAGTGTTAAACATCAACAGTTGTATAAAATCAGTTTGTAAAGCCAGGGAGTGTTTTTGCATTTTAATGAGCAGATAACCGAGGTCAAACTTGAAAACGCAGCAAGCTTTTTTTTTCTCATTTATTTTTCCTGCTATTGTTGCTTTTTCTGCCGGTAAGGCTGTTGCTGTTGTTGCTGTTGCTGTTGAACAGTCAGTTTTATTGGAGTGATAAGACGATTTTGCTCATCAACTGAACTACTGTAGCAGGTCAGTGACAACAGGACCCATATATCAATAAACGTAGATATACACATATATTCATTGTGCTGTGCATAAAGAGCAGGAACAAACTCATTGATGTGTTTCGTGATTTCTCTGACCGCTAAATTTCACTGATTTATATTGCACTTTTAAATATAGGCCTCCTCCTCCTCCTCCTCATCATCATCATCATCATTATCATCATTTTCTTCTTGTACACCGCATATGAAAGAGACCTAAGTAAAAAAAAAATTACCTGAATATTCATCAAACTTCCCTGACTTTTATCAACTGGTAGACTATATAAACAGTATAGAGAAGCTGGCCTGAAGAAGTCGTTCAGTCGCCTTAAACCTTCAAAAAGTTTTTTTAAATAGCTCAATCCTATAGCAATAAGCATCAGTTGTCTGCTCCAAATTGCTGCCAGTCAGGTAGTTCGTATTTTTGAGTGAGC